GGAGCTCTCTGCAACCTGCAGCCTCCAGGAAAAAAGCTTAACCAGTCCCCTCAGGCTGGAAGCCAGGCGTGGGAGACGTTGCAGCTGCGCTGTTCCCCGGGGATCTCCCAGGTCCACGTCAGCCGAAAGGAGGGGAGGGGAGGAGAACAGGCTAGAAAGGTCCTCTAGCTGCTCCTTCCCCCTTTTCTTCTTTCTTCTTTCTTCAAATTATTTTCCTGTGACCAGTGTGCTCCACAGAGCACAGTCTGCAGCTTCCTGCTCTGAAGGCAGGGCCGGATAGACTGGGAAGCAGGAGCACAAGCCCCTCCCCTCCGTGACCAAAAGAGTCTGCCGGCCCTGCTTTACGGAGGAGAGGAGCTGTTACCCAGGAGTAAGGAGTCTGGAGGACTGCCCCACTCCTGGACCACCGGAGAAAGCAGTGTTATACTAGACAGCACGGTGTGGAGCTTGCCATATGTGCCAGGTATTTTGCCTGCTTCATTTCAATTCTCATTCAAAGTTATCTCCAGTATCTACTCAAATGCAGGAATAGGTGTTTCCCCCACCTCAATGATGCCCCCCCCCAAAAAAAAAGAAAGGGTGGGTGAATTCACATACAAATCACAGTTAGGTCCAATAATACAGGGGGTTTTAGTGTGTATAACATTTTTAGGGATGGTCAGGGGTCATTTCGTAGAAAAAGAGGTGCAGGAGCTCATGAGCATAACTCATTAGCATAATTTATTTGCATATGCCACGCCCCCTGACATCACCGGAAGTGTGTCAGAAGGCAACACCCACCGCTCAGGCTCCACTGGACTGTTTTGGATTGCTAGCTATCTGGGGGGGGGGACATGCAGATCTGTCCTCGCGGAGGAGGGAGAGCTTGTACCTAAATAAACCTTGGTCTTAAAGGTGCCACTGGACTGTTTTGGATCGGGGGGCTGGGGGGGGGGCTCTGCAGCTTACCTGGCTGCTTCTTGCTCTGACTGAGGGCTGCTGGGAGCAGGGGGTGGGGCTTGTTGCATGTGCTCGCCCCCTCGGCTCTTTACTGCCGGAGCTCCGCCCCTGTGCGCTCCTGCAGGAAATGACCCCTGGGGATGGTCATCTTACATTCAGGGTTGTTTTCCTTTTGTGTGAATGCAGTATGTTCTTCTATACGCTTTGGTCCCTATTATTTCTGTTTTTTATACTTTGCCCTGGGGATGTGTCCCTTGTTTGTTCATGAGGTCTTTTAATGAAAAAACACACGGCAGAAGCCAGCCGCGGAGGAAGCTGTGCCTCAGCTGGCACAATATGGCAGAGAGAAAGTTTAATCCCTTGGAATGAAGCAGAGGAAGACCTCAAGTTGTAACATATGGACGATCTTTCCGGGAACCAACAGCCTGAGGACCACAGCACTCAGCCTACAACTCCCCGGCACACAGGAAACTCTCTGATCACTTTATTCCAGAGCAAAGCCCCCGGTTGGTCCTTAATTCACCTAACAAAGCTCCCCTTTCGACACTCCTCCGGTTTTTAAGAAGGCGCGGCAAGAGCAGAGCCCAGAGAGCGGTTGTTTGAGCAGAACACACATCATGACCGTGCCTTCTTGGAACACGCCGCCTTGCTCTTTGATTCCGTTGCGGCAAACCAATGCCCAGCCTAGAGCGGAAGAGAACAAGGCCCCAGACTGGTAATGCCTAAGGCATTCAAGCCTTGACTTCCAACAGGGAAGCTTAAAGGTCTACGACTGAAGAAATCTGGGACATTTGGGACACGCAAGCCGACGGTAAACATCTTCTAGGTGTTGCCCACAATCAGTATTCATTGCTTGACATGATATCCCATGATACACCGCTTCTACAGGGAGCCATCTCCCAACTGTTGTAAAAAACGGGCAGGGAGTAGGCAGATGTTGAGGACATTGGGGCACTTGCTGGAGAAAGGAACAGCTGGAGGACTTGCCGCTGGTAGCCTACCTGGATCATTTTCTCCCACCCTTCCTCCAAGGCATAGATAAGTACTATGTGCCATGGTGGGTCCTGCTACGGCAGGGGCTTGCGTGAGCATCCATGAACGGGCAGTTTCTCATTTCCTTCTTCAGGTCTGCCGAAACCATACTGAACTTAGCCTGTCTCGTTTACCAGTGGTTTGGGCACTAGTAACAGGTTCTCTGTGCATGTGGCAGCTCCCACTCCCCCCCCACACACACACACCGTGTGAACAAAGAGCTAGGGACATAGGGAGGGTCTATGAACACAGTCTGCTTTCTTAAAAAGGAAAGGAAATCTATTGAATCCAACACTGCTTAACCATCTAGAGCACAGGACACAGGGAAAAGGGGTGCCACACACAAAGGACTTCTGCAGATCCAAGAGGAGAAAAAGGTAAATCCAGAGGTCATTTCGGGGGGGATCGCGGGGGATTGCAGTTCCCCCGGGTGAGGTACGGGGGGCGGGGCACATGACGAAGCCCCGCCCCCTGCTTCCGGCCGCCCCGCTTCCGGCCCTCATTCAGCCAGGAGAAGGCAGGAGAAGAGGGAGGGTAAGTTGCTTCCTCCCTGCCTCTCCCCACCTCTGCCTGCCTGGGGCCAGGGAGGGCCTTCGCGGGGCTTCCTTGCACTCCCGCCGGCCGGGACCGTTGGGGGAGGGGCGTGTGGCCTTATGACACACTTCCGGTGATGTCAGGGAGTGTGGCCTTATGACACACCTCCGGTGATGTCAGGGGGTGTGGCCTACGCTAATGAGTTATGCTAATGAGTTCCCCTAGCTCTTTTTCTACGAAACGACCCCTGGGTAAATCACTCTAACAAGCCTGACTCTGGAGTCACAGATGTTACCCTCAGAATCCCTGGGGGAGACAGGAATGGGAACAAGGGAAGGACGGCTTTGAACACCACTCGCAGGGTGTTCAGATCTTTTTAACACTTCCTGCCCCAGTTGGCTGGAAGTTCCTTGCCCCATTCTGTGTTTGGGAGCCAATGCTCTCGTGGGACCCTAACATTCCTTTCCCCAATCAACATGGAGCTCCCGTCTCACAGGTTTTATCGCCCAGCTCGTGTTTTGCAATAGTCACCAGTGTTCCCTCTAAGCTGAATTAGTGTGAGCTAGCTCACAGTTTTTTAGCCTCTGACTCACACATTTTTGTCTTAGCTCAAGAAGGATGGCTCCAAAGCAAACTGATTCGTGCAGTAGCCAAATAGCTCGCTCACAACTTAAATGTCAGTAGCTCACAAAGTTGAATTTTTGCTCACCAGACTCCACAGCTTAGAGGGAACATTGATAGTCACCCATCTTGCCCATTACTGCCAGCTGGGCAAACGGTCCTCTCTTTGCAGGAAACTCACCTGTGCTCTGCTGGGAAACTGAGCATTTTATGACCCTGCTCTCTGGGGAAGAGCCTCCTTTCCAGAGTTCTGAGGGGCCCCTCTCCCAGGCGTGACAATCCCTTTCTCATGGGGAGGGGCCGTGACTCAATGGTAAAGCGCGGCATGCAGAACGTCCCAGGTTCAACCCCTTGGCACCTCCAGTTAAATCAGATCAGGTAGAAGGTGATGTGAAAGGCCTCGGACCCCGGAGAGCCACTGCAGTCAGTGTAGACGATACCAACTTTGACGAGGCAATGGTCTGATTCAGTGTAAGGCAGCTTCACGTGTTCATTTTATCACTGCACCCACCCGCTGAGGTAGGTGGTGCTGAGAGTGAACAACTATCCCAGATCAATTAGTGAGGTCAGGCTAGAGGGCCCTCTGACAGCAATGCTGATTCTGTGAGCTTAGGCAGATCACGAGAAGGGAGGGCAGGAAGGGCTGCCTCAGGGCTTAGTTCTCGTGTGGCCCTTTCTTACACGCCCTGGGAAATGCCGATTGCCACTTTGGGGTCAGGATAGAAGCACATTTTTCTCAGGGCCAGTTTGACCAGGGATCCTGGAGGGTTTTTGTTTTGTTTTGTGTTTTTTCATCTTCTGGGTCTGGAACAGGGAGTCGCTGGGTGTGTGTGTGGGGGGGGGGTTAGTATTTGTGAATTTCCTGCATTGTGCAGGGGGTTGGACTAGATGACCCTGGAGGTCCCTTCCGACTGTATGATTCTGTGAGGTTCATGGAAGAATGGGAATCTGAGCGAAGGTCTCTCAGATCTAAGCATGCTGAGCACACTAATAGCTACAGCCCGGAATCTTTCCTCTGTGAGACGAGGCTATCCCTGCCCCAGGTTGAAGGGGTCCAGAAACGATCACCGGATCAGGGCTGTGCCATCTGAAGTCGATGGAGAGGGCCAAAAAGAAGAAGAAGCAGGTTTCTTCTTCCTGGGCCTCATGTCAGCAGGACACAAAATGAATCAGGTGTGGGTTTTGTATGTACCCATGTGTCCCTAATGCACCACCTGTGCCAGTATCATCCGCTGATGCCTACGACTGAGCGCATAATGCTGGTTGGGCCTTAGCCCAGAGCTGTTTTCAAGCATTATGTACTTCCTCAAAGTCTTGCCCGCAAACGGCCCAAAACGTCATAACTAATTCAGTCTGGGAGCCTCCCTACGATACAGCTGCTGGGGAGGCTCCAGTCCTTCCCTCTGCTTGGCTCCCCTCCAGTGTTCCCTCTAATTTTATTTCCCTACTGAGTGGAGCAGTTCACATCCCGAGCAGAATAGAACTGCTGCAATCTTAAAATGGGCAATGGGCAGTGTGAGACCCTGCGCGGCTCCAGACTGCTGCTGAGCGGGGCTTCCTGTGTCAATGAGCGGCCGCTCACACGCACAGCTTAGAGGGAACACTGCTCCCCTCACAGTGTGGAGTGGAGGCATGTCATGGCATGTTCACCACCCTCTTCCAAGTCATCCAGAATGGTTTGATTTGCTCGCTGTTTCCTTCCCAGAGGCCTCCACACAAGAACAATTCCAGGGCAGGAAAGAGAAAGTGTGGCATCTACCTTCCCTACATTCCATGCCCCCCTCCTCCCCTTAAGCGCGCGCGCGCACACACACTCTCTCTCTCTCTTGCGGAACAGTAAGACTTCAGCCTTGCAGAATCCTCATTTCGCTCACCCCTTCCAAAAGCACCCAGGTCTCCTCCAGCCTTAGCCGAGCTGCAGTCACTGAACTGTGATGCGAGGGTTTCAAAGTCTTCCCCGGATTTGATCTTCTGGATGTAGCCTGTCAAAAAGAGAGAGCAATGTCAAGTTACGGCCAGGAAGCTTAGAGCAAACGCCATATATATTTTAGAATCTTTTCCTTTTGATTCTTTTAACCGTCCCTGTTGATCAAATAACCTACATCCTTTTACTCTATCTGCAGAGCACATCTGTGTTCAGCTCTGGTGTATGACAGACATGCGTTGTTTGGACTTTAGATCTGTCACATTTCTATGCTGCCCTTTCTCCAAGGATCTCAGGCTGGTGTCTGTGTTATTCTCACCATCATCATGGGAGGTATGTGTAGGCTGAGAGAGAGAATGATTGGCTCAAGGTCATCCACTGAGCTTCCCAAATGATGAATTCGCTTCCAGAGGATGTAGTGATGGCCTCGGGAATAGACAGCTTTAAAAGAAAATTAGATAGATCCATGGAAGATAGGTCTATCAGTGGCTACTGGCTATGCTGGCTGAGGGGAACCTTCATGTTCAGAGGCAGTCAGCCTCTGAATCCCAGTGCCAAGAGGCAACATCAGGGGAAAGTCTCAGCTTCTATGCCCTGTTGTTGGCCCTCCGTAGGAACTGGCTGGCCATAGTGTGAGACAGCATGCCACAGGAGGTGGTCGCGGCTACAAGCATGGACGGCTTCAAAAGGGAATTAGATAGGCATATGGAGCAGAGGTCCATCAGTGGCTATTAGCCACAAGGTATAGATAGGGGCTCTGGGGCAAGTGATGCTCTGTCTTCTTGGTGCTTGGGGGGGGGGTCAACAGTGGGAGGGCTTCTAATGTCCTGGCCCCACTGGTGGGCCTCCTGATGGCACCTGGTATTTCTGGCCACTGTGTGACAGAATGTTGGACTAGATGGACCTTTGGCCTGATCCAACATTGGCGTCTCTTATGTTCTTATGTTCATGCCGGACTAGACGGACCAGTGGTCTGATACAGCAGGGCTCTTCTTACGTTCTTCTTATGATCTGAACCCGGGTCTGCCATCCCAGTCTCACCACTGCCCCACACTGCAAGTGGGGAGGGGTGGTTCATACGAATGAATACTTTCCCCTTAACCTGAAAATATCCTTGCAGGTAGAAAGCAAGCATATCAAGAGAGGGAAACAGCTTTCATTGTTACTGCTTAAGCTTTTGTAAACTCGGACATTAACCCTGCACAAAACCCAAAAGTATTTTAGAACCGAGGAAGTTTCTCAGTTGGGATGGCATTGCGGCAGAGTCCTTTTGTCCCCTCCATACTGTCAACCTCTGATGTGTCACATGTGGACCTTACCAATACTGCGAGCAAAACCATGCTTTACCTAACCCCATCTAATTTCGCAAAGCAGCAAGGTGCAGTGCAGTGCAGAAGGAACTGTACGGAGCTCTCCCAAAGGGAGCTCCTGATTCTTCCCAATGATAATTATATGTCACATGGCTCATTGTGCAAAGCAAGGCAGTTGAGAAGCTTCTACCAGGCCATAATTTGCTTGCAGTGACATAAAACATTTTTTTCAAGAATCTTTTCAACCAATAAATACATCTTAAGAAGTAACACGTCTGGAAATTTTGAAGCCAAAGGAATTGGGGGGGGGGGCCCTCAAAGTTGCAATCAATTCTTACTTTTTCCCTTTCCCTTTTTTTCTTTTTCTTTTGCCATCAAGTCACAGCTGACCTATGGTGACCCCGAAGGGTTTCCAAGGCAAGCCATGTTCGGAAGTGGTTTGGCATTGCCTTCCTTTGCATCACACGGCCCTGGACTTTCTTAGTGTTCTCCCTTCCAAGTACTAACCAGGGCTGACCCCGCTTCGCTTCCAAGATCTGACAAGGTCCGGCTAGCCTGGGCTACTTCCTTGCCATACAAAACTTACTGCTTGGAAACTAAAAATTATATTATTTGACCTATTTACTTACTTTATTACTATCCCACCCCAATGGGGACCCAAAGCAGCTTGCATCGTTCTCCTCTCCCCTGTTTTATCCTCACAACAGCCCTGTGAGGTAGGTTAAACTCAGAGTGTGTGCCTGGCCCAAGTCCACCCAGGAAGCCTCCATGGCAGATGGGTTTCCCAGATCCTAGCAGTGTTCCCTCTAAGCTGAGTTAGTGTGAGCTAGCTCACAGTTTTTTAGCCTCCGGCTCACACATTTTTGTCTTAGCTCAGGAAGGATGGCTCCAGTGCAAACTAATTTATCCAGTAACCAAATCACCTGCTCACAACTTTAATGCCAGTAGCTCACAAAGTAGAATTTTTGCTCACAGGACTCCACAGCTTAGAGGGAACATTGGATCCTAGTCCGAAACTTTTAACTACTACACCATTCAATGGAGGCCCAGGTCACAAATGTCGCCAGACTGGCGTTTTCCCATCTGCACCAGGTTAGGCAATTGGTTCCCTCCCTGCCTCGCCCTGACTTAGCCACAGTAATCCGTGCAACGGTCACCTCCAGATTAGACTACTGTAACTCACTGTACGCGGGGCTACCCTTGAGGCTGACCCGGACACTCCGACTGGTCCAGAATGCAGCAGCAGATGTTCTTATGGGAACCCAAGTTAGAGCCCATATCCAACCAGTGCTCCGTCACCTGCACTGGCTCCAGATTGAATACCGGATCAGGTTCAAGGTTTTGGTACTAATCTTTAAAGCCCTAAACGTTCTGGGATCAGCATACCTCTGGGATCGCCTCTCCTGGTACACCCCCCAAAGAGCATGATGCTCGGTGGAGAATAACCTAGTGGTGATCCCCAGCCCGAGAAGTATCCAGCGGTCCTCGACCAGAACCAGGCTTTTTCAGCCCTGGCTCTGACCTGGCAGAACGCTCTGCTGAGTGAGATCCAGGCCCTGCAGGATCTGATGCCGTTCCGCAGGGCCTGGAAGACAGAGATGTTCCGCCAGGCTTACAATCAAGGGCGGCGACGGCTTCCATTCTCAACTGGCCTCCCTTCTTCTCCCCTTCCCCCTCCACTTTTTATGTCTGTTACTTCCTTATTTGACTAACTGTAGGATATTTAACACCCCCCCCCACCCCGGATAGGGGGCACTAGGCCGTGCTTCCCTTTTCATATGCCATCTTATTGGCAGTTAGTAGCATTGTAAGAATTGTTTTAATATTTCAATTTTATAGATATTGTTTTATGAAGATGTTATTACCCACTCTGAGCCCTGTTGTACAGGGGAGGGTGGGCTATAAATCCAATACGTAAACAAGCAAAGAAACAAAATGCTGGCTTTACAATATTTCAAAGGATGTCTTAATTTATTAAGAGAGAAATTGCAGATGTACCCAGTCCCATCGAGACAGAGCTGCAAAACACAGATATGAAGCTGGACAGGGAACCAGGTGGGCCAGGCTGGAGCTGAAACGCTGGTGCCCCCGGCAGTCTGAGTCATAGGTGACTCCAATGATCTTCCGCCGGCCCGAGAATCTTGCTGAGAACTGCATGAAATCCAGGGACAGACTGCTCATTAGAACAGCTGCTTGGTGTATTGATCCCTTCCTGCCCTCACCAGCGACCTGCTGAACTTTAGCTAATGAGTCCTCACTCCCTAAGACTGGGGGAGGGGGGGGGACGCCAAAGAAGGAGACGGTGGGAGCCGCTGTTTGCAACTCCAGCACCGATAACTGCATGGTTCTTACCCAAGGCATACTTATTCTTCCTATTCCCAGGATCGTAAGCTACTCTCATCTCCTTTCTAATAGGGATCACAGCCATAACGAGGCACCTCTTATGGCAGGGGTCCCCAACGTGGTGCCCGTGGGCACTCATCAGCACCTTCCCCTGGCACCTGCCAAATGTTTTTAGGAAGCGGCCAGGGCCAGGTGGGGCTTTTACCCAGTAAGGCTCCTGACTGGTCAGTGACGATTTGAGTAGCTGTGCAGATTTTTCAAAAGGTTGCTTTGGCAACAGCCGCTGCTGCAGCACAAGACTTTTCGCTGGGTAACTGAAGGGAAGCTGCAGCAGCCGTTTTGCAGCTGACCCCGCCTCCTGTGGCAGTTTCGTGGCAGCCATTCTGTGGCCGTGCCCACCGCACTGTGCCAGACTTCCAAAGGTGCCCACAAGGTCAAAAAGGTCAGGGGAATGGTCAAGCGTCTGTCAACTCACTGGTAGCAAGTAAAACATTCGAACAAGGGTGTCCTCTTGCCACCTTTTGCTACCAGGATGGAGTAATTCAGGAACGGTTATACTTTTATTGCAAACCTATAGATGCAGTAACATAGGCACTGTAAAGAATGGCCACAGCCAGTAGAGCATAATAGGATATAGGGTATTCGTATGTACCCCCCCCCATGGCATTGGCCAATTAGGCACCCTCCCACGCGCAGGATAAGTCAGGCAACCGTTAGGTGGCTAAAGCTGAGAACTCGGAGTCTCTCACGGTACACAGGAGCCCTCCAGACAACACAACCTCCTCCTGCACATCTGTAGAGATAAGCGTTTCAGCAAAGGCATAACAGCAGGGATAGGAATGCAAGAGCAATTAACAAGATACAGAATGAACTCCCCGACCCCCATGGCAGCATAGCTGACAGTGAGGTCCTGGGGGTAAATCTCCCTCTGACCCTTGGGTTACGCTACAACTGCTCCTAGAGTCTCTATTTCCACTGCCGACAGAAGTAGCAAACTCTCTAGCTCTATCCGGAGGCCGCAAGCTAGGACCAGGGTCTTTTTACACACAAGTCTCCACACGTCTGAGCCTGAACCGCAAAGGACTTCGAGCCTTCACGATACAAGGCGTCACGACTCTCTAACTTGTGCACAATGGACCAGACTACTCCTCTCAGCATATATGTCAAGGTGCAGAGAGAGAGAGAGAAAACACATCCCCTGGTGAATAGACAGGAACTGATGTACAGTCCTGTTCCCCACACTTGATTCTACCCAACATCAAGTTAGTGAATGGACAATATAAAATATGTTGTGTATAGCTTAGTTAATGCGTAAAAATTATATTATTTGACATTGCAGTGAAATTTTGATGCTTGCCTTTGCCCCCTTCAGTAGGGGCATGAATCACAGAGCCCCCACCCCCAC